ACTAAACTTTTCCTTTATAATCCTCCGCATTTTATTTTATCCATTAAAAAAATTATTCTGAGCAGGGGTCCATAAGCTTCAAAAAAGGGGTCCATGACACAAAAAAATCTAGGTAGATGTTGTGATCTGTCAATCTATCTAGGCCCTGACTTTATAGTCTCCTTGAGGGCCAAGGATAGAATCTAGGTCACACAGTGGATACAGTGTTAGATTTGGAGTCAGGAAAATTTAAGTTAACACACTGCCTCAGGCACTTTCTCAGTCTCAGTTTCTGCATCTATAAAATGGGAATAGTAATAATAGCTACTTCACAGGGTTGCTATGAAGATCAAAAGAGGAAACATGTGAAGTGCTTTGCAAACCTTAAAGTGCTAAAGAAATGCTGGCTATTATTATTAACCTTGTGGTATTTAGAATAGGACCAACTAAAACTTCCTCATTCTGTAAGCATTTTTTGATGATGACGACGACGACGACGACGACGACAATGATGGAAGACCAGTCAAGATCTCAGAACCAACCAGTAAGTTCTACTTTTCCTGGACAGGCACTCTTAAGGTCCTGAATGTTAAGAGCCCAGTTAATGAAGGTCTTGTTTACTGTAGTATCCCCTGATAACAGTTTATAGAGTTTGAAGACTATAAAAGGTAGGAGAGATTTTAGAGATCAGTTAAGTCCTTCATTTTACAGATGAGGAAAGAGGGTAAGGCATTGCCCAACAAGACACAGCCAGTGAGCTGAACCCAAGACTTCTAACTCTAAGGCCATAGCTCTATCCACTAGACTTCTCTGCCTAACAACCTTGCCATTCAGTCAGCTCTCTTTTTTTTTTCAGCCAGCTCTCTTCTAGGGCACTATCAGACATGTGGGGAGATCCAAAGTCATCCTCTCAGTTGATGACCGATAAGAAGAGTTGGCTTGCTGCCCGCCTTGTCAATCTTCGCCCAATAATGAAAGCCACCATCTTTAACAACAACCACTTTGTGCCTGACAAAGGGAGAAAACCAAGGTCTTTCCAGGATTCTCCTCTGGCCCCTCAGTGAACCATTCCAGGGGAATTCTGTTCACGCATTCTGAAGAAGGCTGAGGGGAAACCCTCATCAAATGATTAATTCCTGGACGCTGTGGCAACAGCCAATGCGGCAGCCAGCCTCTGCTCCCTAGTGAAGGCCATGGAACCAGCCCAAAGTACCCCCAGCTGCTCCAGAAACATAGATGTCCCTTCCAAAAGCAACATTCCCACCCTCCCCCTCCCCCACTGGAGAAGCTGCCAAATGCCAACCCCGAGCCTCAGCCCTCAGGCCATCACCACCAGGGGAAGTCGCACAGATAATGTTTGCAGCTTTGGGAACACTGTTTGTCTGATGGTTATTAGAGAGGGGATGGGTGTGGGAGGGAGAGCAGAGAAGATGAGGCTCCAGGGAAGAGGCATCCGGGTGCTCCAGTTCAAACAGAGTACAGACTTGAGTGATCAAAAAGGAAAACTATTCATCCACAGAGCCAATCTCCGTGCCTCCCAATACTGGGCAAGCACTATGCAAGAGGCTGAATGAATGGAACACTTAGGAGCCTCTCTGCTCTGTGGAACTGAGCACTCACTGCCAGCTGCCTCCGGACTATGCTGGTTCCAGAGGCTCCCCAGCAGCTAAGGCATGAAATGAAACATGTCAAATGGAAAGTGCTCGCCAGCAATCTCCCTCCTCCTGGATCCTAGGGTGCTCTGGAGGGCTTAGAAGCTGTTCCCTCTAATTATTCCAAGTCCCACCCCAGCTTCTGCCCTACCTCCCTCTCCCCTTCCCCATTTCAAATATTTACAAGTAAGTCAGCTCCTCTTGGCACCCGCCCCATTCCTGCAACCTAAATGACTCTCCACCTGGCAGATGTCATGCTCTGCTGAGGTCCCAAGCTCAGAAGGAACACCTGCCTTGCTGTCCACCAGCAAGCTAGCCGGCCCCTGGAATCCTGGTTTCATTAGGGAATGCAAAGATCTAGCCACTAGAGGGAGCTCCCACCTCACTCTGGTGGGTCTGGCCAAAATGGCAACTCCCCTCCCTTTGGGCTCTCGCTTAGGTGGTGGCCTGATTCTCTAGTCATTTGCAGACAATAAACAGGAGGCCAGGAAATAAACTGTTTCACACAGATCCTCCAAATTCCAAGAGGCATCAAATGTCAGAACTGGAATTTAGCCTAAGCCCTTCCAATTTTAACAATGAGGAAGCTGAGACCCAGAGAGGAATAACTGGCCCGAGGTCCTCATCTCTTTAGTGGCATTGCTGTGTCTAGGAGGCACATCTTTTGACTCCCAGTCCAGTACACTACACTGCCTGCCAACTCTGAGAGCTTCAAAGAGAATTTCTAAGTCATCTCTTCTCTCCATCAATCCTAATTTCTTCCTTAAGTTCTGGAATTCAGATGATAGTGATACTAGTTCCTTAGATCAGTACAGGACTTCCCACACATTACCCCCACTATTTATTCATAACATCGCTGTGAGGTAGTCAGAGAAGGTATCATTATCCCCAACAGTGAACAGTAAGGCCAAGTAGCTGACCCAAAGCCACTCAACTAAACCCAACACAACTAGCCTTAGAGTTCAGGTCTTCTCACGCCTAATCTAATGCTCTTCCCGTTCCCTCATAGGGCAGGTGATGGGGCCATACCCTGTGAGGGAGAGGTGATGCACTCAACAGCCTTGTCAGTGAAGGCCATGAGAGTCTAGCCCTGTCTTTTTCTAAGAAGTGGAAATTCATCTAGGAAGCAAGGAACCTCTCAGCTGCCAGCCACCTGACATGTTCATGTGCAAAGGAGTGGGGCTACTCTTATCAAGTATTCACCAAGGATGGATGAGAACATTTAAACGTCAGCTTTGGGGTAGGCTGCTCAAAGCTCTGACCTGTATGTGAATGTATGATTCATAGCTCAGTCCCTTTCTAATGTTTGATCATTGAATCGAAGGTTCTATTTAAAATGAAAAGTGGATCCGTCCCCCCCTTCATTTCAGGGAGGGAGGATCATGAATAAGGAATATTCATATGTTAGCAGATGTGGTCACTGTCTAATTAGTTTGTCTGAAGGTTAGTTTGACTGAAGACCTTTCCCCCCCTTTTAAAAAACTTAATTGCAAGAGAAGGATCATTGGGTAGGGGAGGGAGATGGGGCACAGTATGGAATGGGGATATATGTTTGGAAATGGATGTGATACAAAACTAAAATGGTAGCAAAGAAATGGCAACAAAGTAGGTACCCACAAACTAGAGAATGGCTGAATGAACTGTGAAAAGTGGATGTAACAGAATATCACTGCACCATAAATGACTAAAATGAGGAGTTTAGAGAAACATGGAGGGATGAATGTAACTGACACAGAGTGAAGTAAGCAGATACAAGAAAGCAATACATACAGGGAAGACAACAATGTAAACAGAAAGAACAAGAAAATGAAACCAAACATCATAAAATTAGAATGACCAAGCTTGGCCCTGAAAAGGAGATGAGAACAATGCATTACCCTCTTTTCGCTGAAAAGGTGGGGAAATACAAGTGCAGAGTGTTGCCTGTGCTGCCAGGAATGGGTGATATGGTGGTTGGTTTGGCTGTACAGCTGGTTTTTAACTTTCACCTCTGTGACAAGGGAAGACTCACTAAGTAGCAGAACATGTTCAGAAATGAAAATGTAAAAACAAAGGGCAGCAGCAAAACTTTTAAAAAGCCCAAACACTTTAAAAATGCAAAGCAGAGAACGTGGTTTTCTTTTGGTTACCAGTCTTTACTCAGCACCTGCTTTGAAGGTGTTTAAGCCTCATAAGGAGAAGGAGGATACAAAGACAGTCCATACAAAGTCCCTGCCTTCAAGGAGTTTATAGTCTAGTTGGGGAAACAAGACACAGAAATATGAAAAAATAACTAATAAAAGGCACTCCCTGGTTAGTGCCAAAGGTGTAGGCCAGATTTAGGAGATGCCATAGGAGTTCAGGACTACCTCAGACTACTGTGGTTGGGGAAGGCTTCATGGAGGAAGTGGGGCTTGAGTTGGGCCTCAAACATGGGCTATCCAGGTAAGAGAGTCATGTGAACAGTGTGTTCATGGGACAGCAAAGAGACCAGTTCAGAAAACAAGGGAGCAGGGAGTCTGGAAAGACAGGATCAGAGATTTAAAGCTGAAAGTGACCTCTGAGGACATCGAGTCTAATCCTCTCGCTTTACAAATGCCCAGGAAAGTAGCTGGTACTTGAACCCTAATCCTCTGACTGTAAAACTAAGAAATTTAAAATTTTTGTAATGTAAAATTTTTTCCATTGACCCCCAAAGGGTCTTTTTTTGGGGGGGGAGGGGTAGGCAATGCGATTAAGTGACTTGCCCAGGGCCACACAGCTAGTAAGTGCCAAAAGGGTCTTGAATGATGAATTATACTTCATCCTGCAGGCAACAGAGGGTCACTGAAAGTTCTAGGCTTCTTCGAGGAGGAGAGGCCATGCTCACAATGAGTACTCAATCTTAATCCCCCTAGGATGCTGATGAAAGAAAAGTGGGGAAAGGGAGGAGGCAAGGAGGAGGAAGGCATACTAACATAAAGAAGAACAAGATAAAAGAATATCCTGAAGGAGCCTAAGGTGATGGATGGAGGTGATATGATGAGAGGCAGTTCTGCTGATTTAGTATGCAGTAGACATCAAACCAAAAGCTACAGAGCACAAGAGTCAAGAACACATTCCCTCCTTGACTCAAGAGCCAAAGGAAGATCGACCTGCTCTGAAACCTATTTCCACGGAACTCAAGCGTTCTCCGTACAAAGAGGCCCAGAAAGAGGAGAATGCCAAAGGAGTGAGAGGAAGACAGACAGGTGGTCTTGGCTAAGATGCTGGACAGGAAATACAGTTATTCCCCGAGGTCCTGGCCCCTTCCTGCCCATACCCTCTGAGTCGCTGCTAAAACTGCTCAAAGCAATGGCAAAGTAGGAAGGCAAGTTTCCCACCTTTCAGCTGTCACTCTGGGCCACTCACCAAGGGTCTGCTGGTTCCGGACACCCCCAATCACCACACAGATCTCAGCCGGCACGTCCCCAGACCCGTCCTTGACGTTCTTCTTGGACTCTTTGGCGTCGTCCTGCCAGATCACCTCCCGGATATAGTCATCGGGAAGCTCCGTCTTCACCTTCACGTCTGTCATCGTCCCCTGCTCTGAGCACAGTGAGGTCTCTGCCGGCACAGGACTGGAGCCCTCTGCCTTGGCACTCTTGGGACTCCTTTTTAGCCTTTCCCTGCAAAGGCAGAGAGAAGAGATCAGGGGCCTGCTCTGCAGTGGGCAAGGACCCTTTCACCTTACTTAAGCCTTATTCATTGACTAACGGTATCCCAGATATGACTAGTTCAGCTCTTACATATGAGGTCTGTAGTATTTCCCAGATATCAAATCCCTCAATTCTCTATTCCCCCTGACAGTTTGTTAATTTATTTTGATTTATTAACAATCACTTCCATAAGTTTCAAGTTTTAAATTTTTCTCCCCGTTTTTCCTCAAGATAGCACACAATCTGATATAGGCTACACATTTTTAAATTTTTTTTATTAATTTATTTTGATTTAGCCCCGACAGTTTGGGATTATAACGCACCTTTTCAAGGTGCAGAAACTAAGACACAAACCAATGAAATGAAGGATATTTCCATGTAAGGTTGTGGGCTAAGATTGTACTTGAAGCAGCCTTCAACCCCACCCCACCCCACCCCAGCCAGTATGCTTTAAAATTAAGTCCATTTTTTAAAAAGTAAATGCCCTTCAACCAGGGAATGTCTCAACACAGAGTAGAGGAATATAACAGAACATGACTGTGCAATAAGAAACAACAAATATGATGAACTTAGAGAACCATGGAAAGACTTATATGAAATGATGCAAGATAAAGTAAGCAGAACCAGGAAATAGTATACACAAGACCACAGTAGTGCTGATATATAAAGACAATACAATGCTGTGAAGTTCTAAAGACCAAATGTGGCCCCAAAGAAGAAATACCTCCCCTACTTCTTTGCAGAGGTGGAAGACTACAGCTGTGGAACACAACATAGAATGGCAGACTTTTTCATAGTGCTGCTTAGTTTTGCTGAATTGTTTTTTCCCTTTAAAAAAAAAAAGTTTTCTGTTACACAACCAAAACTCTCAGTACTCTAGGTCAGGGCTTCTTAAATTTTTTCCACTGGAAACCCCTTCGGCGCATTTTACACTGTGGGTCATAACACCATATGGTCGAGGCCCACAGTTTAAGAAGCACCGCAGGTAACTTTTGCTTTTTTTTTTTTTTAACACGGCAATAGGGTGAAATGATCTGCCCAGTTCACACAGCTAGTAAGTGTCAAGTGTCTCAGGCCAAATTCGAACTCAGGTCCTCCTGAATCCAAGGCCATAGCTGTATCCACTGCGCCACCTACCTGCCCCTGCAGGTAACTCTTAAGACCACAGACTGCAGAGAATTTGTTGACCTTCATTGGCAGAGGGAATTTCTTCACCGGAGTGCCCTATACCAATCAATTCATAGATATTTCTATAAAGGATAACTCTCTTGGAGGGGAAAAGAGGAAGGAATAAATTGGGAAATGGACATAATGTAAAAACAAGAGATATCAATAAAATATATTTTAAAAGAACAAAAAAAAGTCCACTAGATGAGCAAGTTTTAACACAGATCATTCTAATTAATTAAAGCACAGCCTAATTTAATTAGCTAGCATAATTTATTCACTTCAACTTCAAGAATCTGTGAATTGGTGCATGTGGGTCCTCCCTCCCTTCAAACATATCAAGACCCCTCTCTGCCAATGAGTTCCTGGAGAGCAGATATAACCCCAAAATTCATTATCCTACAGCAACCCGAGGATGAAACTCAAGAGGTACTTCCATGAAGAGGTTGTTCAATACACTATTAACAACACTGATGATGGCGGTCCTTTAATATGGGTGAGTTTTACGGCTTGGAAGTCATGAAAACAGCAGGTGCTGGATCAGCAGGAGAACAGAGAACACCTTTCCCAACTCTTCTCGGTTTTCCCCATCCCTCAAGATCCCCACACAGCTCTTTAACCCAAACAAGATCAAGCAAGTTCTTTCTTCTATTCTGTCTTCAGTTTACCAAGAGAATGTAAGCTCCTTGAGGACAGGAGCTGTTTTGCATTTTATCTTTTTTATCTCTAGCATCTAGCAGTATCCTGCAATCAGCTTGTCAATAAGTATTTCTTAAGTACCTACTACTACCAAGTACTGTGTTATCCACAGGGATACAATGAAAGGCAAAAACGTCTCTGCCTTCAAGAAGCACACATTTGAATGATGGAAGTAACCTGTATATAATAACTAGGTGATATAAGATATACAGAGATTAGATGAAAGACAATGTGGGAGGGGAAGGTGTGAGCAGCTGGGTGGACAGGGAAAGGCCTCCTGCAGAAGCTGAGATCTGAGCTGAGTCTTGAAGGAAGCCAGAGAAAGAGGCAAAGGTGAGGAGGGAGAGCACTCCGGGGGGGGGGGGGGGTACAGCCAGTGCAAAGGCACATAGACAGGAGATGGAATGATGTGTTCAAAGAACTGCCAAGGAGGCCAGTGGATTTAGAAAACTGGATTTTCAAGTGTGTAGAGGTGAGTAAACTTTACGAAGACTGGGGAAGAGGAAGGGGGCAGGTTAGGAAGAGTTTTAAATGCCACACAGAGAACTTTATATTTGACACTGAAAGCCATAGGGAATCACTGAAGTTTACTGAGCCGAGGCATGACATGGTCAGACCTATACTTTAGAAAATTACTTTGGCAGCTGAGTGGAAGATGGATGGGAGTGACAGACTTGGGACAGAGAGATCATTTTGAAGGCTACTGCAATAGTCCATGTGAAATGAGATGAGAGGCTGGGCTGGGGCTCTGGGAGTTTGTAGTTTTGTTTTTGTTTTTTTGTTTTTTTTTTAAGACAGAAATGACAAGCATCTGGATACGTGAGGGGAAAGAGGGGTAAAGAGAGGGAAAAGTCAAGGAGGACACTGAGGTTACTGGCCCGGGTGACTGGAAGGATGGAGTCTGTGATACTAATGGAGAAGTTTGGAAGAGGGGAGAAGAAAGATAACAAATTCTGGTTAGGACATAGTGAATCCAAGATGTCCGAAAAGCAGGTAGCGGTGAAGGATCAGAAAAGAGGCTAGGGTTGAATATGTAGTTCTGGGAACAACTGAGAAGAGGGCCCAGGACAGAACCTTGAAGGACACTCTTGGTTAGTGGGTATGAGACAGATGAGGAACCAGCAAAAAAAGAAGAGGACCAGGAAAGAGCAATGCCACAAAAACCAAGTGAGGAGAAAGTATCCCAAAGGTCAGTGTAAACCAACAGTGTCAAATGTTGCAGAAAGGTCCAGAAGGATTAAGGGCCATTGGATTTGCCATTTAAGAGACCACTAGTTACATTGGAGAGGGCAATTTCCGTTGAATGATGTGGTTGGCTACCAGAGTTCAGAATAAGAGGACAGAGTGGAGATACCAAGTGTAGACAGCTTTCTCAAAACAGTAAGCTCGGGAGAATGATAGGATCAAGTAAGAATTACACACACACACACACAAATATATAAAATTTCCCCCCAATTACATGTTAAAATAAATTTTAACTTTTTTTAAAGTTTTTTTGGGGGGGAGGGGCTAGGTAATGGGGTTAAGTGACTTGCCCAGGGTCACATAGCTAGTAAGTGTCAAGTGTCAAGTGCCTGAGGCCAGATTTGAACTCAGGTCCTCTTGACTCCAGGGCCGGTGCTCTATCCACTGTGCCACCTAGCTGCCCCTTTTTAAAAGTTTTGAGTTCCAAATTCTATCCCTCCCTGAGATAGTAAGCAATCAGAGATAGGTTATATACGTGCAATCATATAAAACATTTCCATATTCATAGTTTTGTACAAGAAGACTCAAATAAAAGAAAAAGAATGAAAGAAAGACAGTGAAAAATAGCATGCCTCATGTATTCAAACATTATCAGTTCTTTCTCTGGAGGTGGATAGTATGTTTCATCATTAGTCCTTTGGGACTGTCTTGGATCACTGTATTTTTTTTTTTTTTTTTTTGCTTTTTGGTGAGGCAGTGGGATTAAGCGACTTGCCCAGGATCACACAGCTAGTAAGTGTCAAGTATCTGAGGCCGGATTTGAACTCAGATCCTCCTGACTCCAAGGCCAGAGCTCCATCCACTGTGCCAACTAGCTGCCACCCTTGGATCACTGTATTGAGAACAGCTGAGTCGTTCACAATTCTTCATCAAACAATATTGATGTTACTATGTACAACGGTCTCCTAGTTCTGTTCACTTCACTTTGCATCAGTTCATATAAGTCTTTCCAACTTTTTCTAAAATCATCCTGCTCATCATTTCTTGTAACACAATAATATTCCATTACAATCATATACCACAACTTATTTAGCTATTCCCCAATCTATGGGCATCCCTTTGATTTCTAATTCTTAGCTACCACAAAAAGACCTCAAGAGAGAATGGGAGAGACATGAGGGTTTTTGTAGGAACAGGAAAAGAGCCAATAGATGGGGGGGGGGGGAGAAGACGAAGACATTGACAATGAAGAAGGAGGAGGAGGAGGAGGGGGAGGAGGAGGAGGAGGGGGAGGGGAGGAGGAGGAGGAGGAGAAGAAAAAGAAAGAGAATCTGTCCTTTGAAAATCATGAAAACGGTTAACTCCCAAGTCAATGTGACAACACAAAATACTCTTCCTTGTCCATGTCCTACCTATTTTTCGAGAATCAACTCAAGTTCTTTCTCCTCCATGAAGTCTTCCCCAAACATCCCAGGTCACAGTAATCCCCACCCATGCCCCCCCTAAACTCCTACAGCATACACACACAGAGTGTATCACATGTCTGATACTTAGCATCTTAAGTCAGTGGGGCTCAGTGGAAAGGACATTGGGTTTAGAGTCAAAATAACTAGATTCAAATCCCATTTATTACCTGAGTGACCTTAGTTTATCATTTTGCCTCTCTAGCCCTCATTTTCCACTTCTTTAAAATGAAGGGCCTGAATTAAATTACCTCTAAGGTACATCCTGGCTCTAAAGTTCTATGATCCTAAAAACATTCAAAGATTTATGTCCCATTTTCCCAAATAGAAGCTAATACAAGGCAAGATATGTATAAAGTACTTAATAAAGGCTTGCAGATGATGATGAGGATGGTGACAGGGATCTTATAAACTTATAAGCTAATGGGGCTATGAGTCTGTCATCTGCTTTGGGCC